TCATAAATTTTTGCAACACGTTATTATTACGCTTATTTCCTAAGACTTCCTCTATATTTAGTAGATTAGTGCATATTAGCCGCATTTTGTAGATTTAGATTATTGCTTAATTTCTGTACTCGTATAATATGGTAGTAGTATAATGAAGTGAAGGAGTAATATGCATGCTTCCCATATTCGTCGGAAGAATGTCGAATGTTGCACAAAGTTTAAGTTTGCCAGCCTAGTTTCCCATGCACGTGAATACCCGCCGCAACAACAACAAGAAAAAAACGCAAGGAAAAAATCGATGAATGGCTAATTCAATAATAATGATCGCGCATTTAGTCGCGGCTATTTGTGCTTTAATGCACAACTCCTGTTCTTGTGATTGTTGTTTTTATTTTCATGTACGAGTAGGTACGTAGCATTCATTCGTTTAAAGCGTAGAAGTAAACAAATCAATTGAAATATGTAATTTGTAGTGTTGAGGACATGAATTTAAGGAATATTTATACTTAATATGGTAATTTGTATCTAAAATTTGGGTTTTTAATACGCAAAAATAAGTTAAAGTAATACTTATTGATTTTTTTAGTTATTTGAGGTTAGTTTATTATTAAATATTGTTGATGCCTTCAAAAATACGTAAATTTGCAATATTTTTATGTTAATGAGTACAAAAGGTTAAGATTTTTATGAATATCTACTAAAAAAAATACAAATTTTTGAGTTAATATTAGCAAAAAATAAGTTTAAAAAACTATAAAAACTAAAACTAACCTCAAAAGATTATTTTCACATTCGACAGCTGTCAAAATGTTAATATTTTGGACGAAAAGTTCATTTTACACATTTTAAAAGATAATACTAATCGCAAAAGGCAATTTTTTCACTTCTATCTCTTAAAATTAGTAATTTTCCTACTAAAGATAATTTTACACAATTTAAAAGCCAAAACTAACCTCAAAAAACAATTTTGACATTTCTACCTGTCAAAATAATAAATTTTTCGAAAAAAATCAAATTTTTACACTCATATTTATTGTTTTCAACGAAATACTTAAAATGTTTTCTCAAATATCACTAAAAATCATAAAAAAAGTTAATAATGACTTATTTATTCATTTTACTACGAATAGAATTTCTTTCTGCTCTGATTTCTATACAATTTTAACTTGAAGCACTTTAATCGTAGCCTGTTTGATGCTTGGTGATCCAAATGATACATGCCAGTGTATACTCTTGTCTATTGAGCAATCCGCGCATTTTATCTCTTGATTTATTCAACTGCAGTAATCTGCGCACGGCTTACACATGAAAACCGTCAGGTGATTGCCTCTTAAGCACTCGAGCATCTTACATAACACGTCGGAATGAATAGAAGCGAACTGGTTGTGCGTGCATTACTTTTCGTTTTCATTTGAACCACTTTAATTTTCGTTCACGGAGGATGTTACAAAACTTCGTTCGTAGAGTAAAGTAGAGTGAGATCACAACGCGCTAAAACATAATTAACATCTTACGGCTAATGAATTTTTGGAACTTTTTAAACACATACCATACACCGACATAAATGCGTAGCAGTAATGGCAAAAACAATAAAAGAAAGCGAATCTTTTCGTTTCGACTATGGACGTTTATGTTGAAATGAAAAAAAGGTGAGAAAAGCGAAGAATAAGAAAGAATTTGTTGTCACTTATTACTTCTTTTCAAAATGCGGCTTTCGTTGAGTGTTAAACGGTTAAATTTGAATTATCTCACAATTTCACATTTTGTTTCGTTTCATTTCTTGTTCCATTCATTGTTTCGCCTCGAATGTGTACTGGTAAATTCCGAGCGAAATTGAATTCAAGAATTCAAGTTTAAACTTCAGTTGTGAACAAACTTCTTGCAATAATGAAAGCATTTCATTCGAATTTACATTGTGTTTTGGTTGAAATTATTTAATGGATAAGCTGTTATTGTAATTGCATCACGTAGATAGGAACAAATTGTCATTGTTTAAAAACAGCAAGAAATGGAAAATATCATGTTCGGAACTTTTACTGCAACTCAAACGTGCGCAAAAAAAATGGTTGTTTGTAAAGTAGGTTTACGATCGAGATGTTTACGTGATAACGTCTTATTGGTGATATAAGTTTTTTTTTTGTTGCAATTGTTGTAACACTTCACTTGCACTTCACATTTTGTTTTACTGTTAAACATTGAACGAAAACTAAGGCTCCCCGCACACTACAAACTTTTTATCGGCCGATAGTTTGGTCGGGCTTATAATCAGTATGAAGATGTATGCAAGTCCGCATACTACAACGATTTTGTATCGGCCGATAAACAAGTTTGATGGGCTACCCAACTGCGTTCAAACTAAACTATCGGCCAACCAGGCCAACTATCGGCCGACTGCGATATCAGTATGGAGCTCGTCGCAAGCGCGCACACCTACCGATTGTTTAGTCGGCCGACTTGATCAATTTAGTTCGCTCAGAGTATTGGTGCAGTCGGCCGACTGTTGTCTAGTGTGCGCACTCACCACAAACCCAACTGTTTAGTTGGCGTAGTGTGCGCGCTCACAGCCCAACCCGATCAAAATATCATCCGATAAAAAGTTTGTAGTCCCCGGGGAGCCTTAACCGCACGAGAAAATCTCCATTCGTTTGTATGCCGCTAGAGTGAGAGAGACGGAAGATCGGTCCACTCACTCGAACGCTATGCCTGCCTGCCAATGACTGGCAGCGCTCGAGATGAGACGGGAGATCGGTCTGTCTCTCTCTGGTTATAACGAGAGGGGGGTATACCTGCGATCGGCCTCGCTCGTGACACAGTTTCTGAACCGGTCACCCGTAAAACGATTTTAAAGACGTTATCACGTCAAAATTGATTATAAACGTTTGAACATTTTAATGTCTTGTTTAAGTCATATTTATGCATGTGATAATAATTTGAGGGTAAAATTATGGTTTTTAATGCGCAAAAATAAATTAAACGAGTAAATAGTAATATTTAAAAACATTTGAGGTTAGATGAATACAAAATATTGTTTGTGGCATCAATAATAGGTAAATTACAATATTTGCGATGCTATTAAATACCAAAAAAATTGAATTTTTTTAAGAAGTGCTAAAACAACTCATTTTTAAATCGCTCCTAGCAACAAAAATACAAAATACAAGTTTTTTCAAGCGCCCTCTTGATTTAAATTGAATAACTAAAATTAGATCTACTTTTTTTTCCTATACTCTTTACTAATACTCGTTTATCCCTTATTTTTCACCCTCTAAATTATATTTTTACAACAAAAACTATCCTATATTCTTTCCCAAGTATCAATACATCACTATTCAAAAATTCATCAAAATTAATTCAGTTGTATAGCCGTGAAAAAGTAACAAACATAAATCGCTTCAAACTTTTGCAATTATTATACTACAACAGATATTATTACCTCTTAAAATCAGTTTTTATTCAATTAAAAGTTGAATAAACGTAGTGAACGTAATTTAATTAGAGTTTGCACTTTGTGCATTGTCTGTGCTGTGTCTACGAGTACTTGCAAGTTAGACGCGTGGTCGTCGGCCGCATCCACTTGTCGAGATAATGAAAAGTGAGAAATGCATAAATGTGGCAGCGCTGGCAGTCATCAAGCATCGGGCATCATCATCAGCCACGCGTCGTGAGCAAACAAAAGCGTGCTCGTAATAACCGCTTAACTTCTGCACTTCTTAACTCAACACCGCGCGAATTTAAAGAGTTTAAAAACCCTGAAAGCGAAATTACTCTCATTATGCTCAAGTTCAACTTGTAATTAAAATATTGGAGTTGTATTTGTATTTGTTTTTGCCTGCGACTTCATTTTCATCGTTTATTTAATTTTAAATGTCGATTCCATCAATAAAATTCGAAATTTAATTTTAAAGAAATATGAAATGGTAATAAGTTACTTTAGCGCCCTCTCGGGTTCAATTATATAACTATAACTATGATTGAATTTCTATACTAATTTTCATCCCCTATTTAACACCCTTTAAGTTATAATTTTTGATATTTTAATAATTATTCTTCTATTCGGGATAAAGACAAATCTAACAAATCATGGATCATCAAAATCTATCCAGCCGTTCTTGAGTTATAAATGTTGTAACTAACACAACTTTATTTTATACTAGCTTTTGCCCGCGACTTCGTCCCGGTAGTGTTTAATAAAAATGTAATTCGTTTTTACTCTCTTCTCTAGACATAGTATGTGTCTATTCTATTAATAATATTCGCAATTTTATTTTCAAGAAATTATATAAATTATATAAAGAAGCGCGCCATCTCGGATTCAACTATTTAACAATAACAATGATTTAATCTCAATGCCAACTTTTATCCTATAGAAAAGGACTGTTTTAAGGGTTTTCCCGGCCATTATTTGAATTTTCTCGTCGTAAAATCCATCCTTGGGCTTTAACAAACATTTTAAAAAATGAATTGGCCAAACTGGTCTAGGCGTTGTTGAGTTATGCACTTACCAACAGATTTTGCGATAAATTTTTATATTATAAATATTATATATAAATGACAAATTATATTTTATTTATTTATTTATTTATTTAGATACAATAACTAATATTCCTATATTTATAAATTTTATAATTTGAGTTTTCTAAGTATTATTACGAATGAGTGCACTTTTATCGCTGGGAATCAAGAGTGTAACGATCTCGCCAGCGGATTAAAGTTAAAGTATTAAACATTAAACGGCGCACGACGGCCCCGAGATTAATACGCTAGATATCTTTGTTCAGTTTTCGCGTTGTACGACGAGTAATTAACAATTTATCGAAGCGGTCGTTGATGGTCTTTAGTTTCACAGCAATTTCTCACTCGAAACGCACCAAACTGACGCAATCGTAAATGCTATAACTAATTACATTCTGCGTAAACTATACTTCCATCATGGATGCTGTGTAATATTGGTTGCATACATGCGTATAATTTATAACTACTGATTTTTGATTTATTTAAACTGTATTTACCTGTCGATGAATGAAGCAACAATCCGATCAGCACACTGATCGTGACGCACACTTTCATATTCATTTCATTTGGCTTCCAGCTTGAATTCGGTCGCAATCACTTCGAGATCATCCTGCAAATAAACACATAAATTAATTTATGTCTTACAAACAGTCAATAAATTGTTTTGAAACGTGTTTATCGTAAACTAATTTTAATCATTTTAATTGCATATAATTATATTACTTTAGGCGGGCTGGCGCTGGCTATTTAACTATTACATAAATATTTTAGCAAATCACACAGACATTTACACTCAGATAAAATATGATCAAGTTTAGTTTTAAGTAAAGTGAAAAAATTGCATAATTTCCGTTTTGCGCATTTCTTTAAATGTTATTCTGCGATTACTCAATAAGAATTAAGAATTAATCTTTCTGGATTATACTTAGCCGCACTTTTGATTAAAGTTGAAGTTGGCTAGAATTAGTAGCGATCACTCGGCAATTTCACGTTGTCCCAGATTAGTTATTAACTAACATTCGCAACTAGGAAGAAACTTTCCAATCATCTAATCATCGAACCGAATTAATCATTTATTCTATTCGAGGATAAATAACACTTGATTAACTTTTATGTTCGGATATTTTTGGAATATTAAGTAAGTACACATATTATTTTTATAAATGAATAAATTTAGGATTTAACGTGATGTTTGTTTGAATATACCTACTTAATTTTAATTTTTGTATTTATTCAACATCTGCGTTAAACAAACATGAAATATTGGTGTTGATTATTGGGGAATATATGTTTTTTTTCTGTGACAATAAAGTAATCACGCAATTTATGCTAAAAAACACTAGATTTAAATTATGGTGATATTATGAACAATATAGGTTATGAGGATGTACGAGTATGTACGCTTAAACTACTGAATCAATTTTTGTGAATTTTGGTATAGTGCTAGATTGTACTTTTGAAAAAACAGAAACCAAGTTTTTCTGCAAAAATAAAACTTTACTAGCTTTTGCCCGCGACTTCGTCCCGGTAGTGTTTAATAAAAATGTAATTCGTTTTTACTCTGTTGTTGTAGACATAGTATGTGTCAATTCTATCAATAAGATTCGCTATTTTATTTTGAAGAAATTAATTATATAAAGAATTGCTAATAATGCACTTCAGCACGCCATCTCGGATTCAACTATTTAACTATAACTATGATTGAATCTCTTCTATCCTATAGAAAATGCTGTTTTTAGGGTTGTCCTTATTCAAATTTTTCTCATCGTAAAAACTATCCTTGGACTTTAACGGACATTTAAAAAAAAGAATTCGCCAAATTGGTCAAGGCGTTGTTGAGTTATGCGCTTACCAACAGATTTTGCCATTCATTTTTATATTATAGATTGAGGCAAAACCAGTTAATTATTTAAAAATTATTTAAAAAAATGCAAATGTAACTACTTCGAATATAATTTATACTCGTACGTGTAATAACCCTTAAAGCCGTGCAAAATCAAACGTAATATTAAATAATTTTGCACATTTTAATTTTTTTCCGTACGTAAATTAGTGAAAAACATTGAAAAATGACTAAACACAGATGAAATTTATGATTAAACGAACATGCAAAAAATATTCACTTGTAGGTTCTAAAATAATTCAACTTTTAGAAGACTTTTATTATCTTTTTATGTTTTGTGTTTTGGTTTAAACTGTAAAACAACAAAATACACCTTAACATAAACATGAATTAAATATTCAGATATGCACAAGATATTTCTGGCACTTGTATATTAACAAATGTAAGATTTCAAGTTTACATCTTAAATGTTCTGTACCTGATGAATGATAATGTGAAATGTGACGCATGTTCGTTCCTCTTTCTTAATTCTGCAATTTATCTCAACCAAAGAGTGCGTATGAGCGCGACTTTCTTTGTTCTCATTGTTTGTAATTAACGTTATCTTTACGCTCTGCACTCCATGTACAAAAATATGCAGGTACAAAGCAAAGAAAACAAATACAAGCAGAAGTGATGCGAGGCGCGCGTGCTCATCTAAATGTGTGCCAGAGAGAATGATATGCAAATTATATTAAAATTAAACTGATTAGACAAATTTGAATCGACTTTAATTGGAAGTTAAAGCAAAACGAAAATAATTTATTTAAATTCGCAATTTTCATCAAATTGATTTCAGCAAATTATACGTGTCACGTATAAAGAGTTTATGAATAATTTATGTAGTGTTTAATGAAGGAAATGTGATAGTTTTGTCGCGATTATAATTAAAATAATTCAAGTTTAGGTGAGAAAATAAAATATGTATTATTGGTTGCCTATGCTAAGTTAATTGTGACCAGCTGATCAGCTTGTGACATGCCACGGCGCTGCAATCGCTGTTTGATTTTGCAGATGTCATTTTAGTGTCTCACTTTTTTATTAATAAATGCAGATGGCGCTTTTGTGTCTTGCATAACTAACCTCAGCGCAATAAATATCAGCAAACAAAGAAAACAGTTTATAGTGCGTTAAATAAGCCTCAAATCATTCTATTTTTCTGGGTGGTAAATAAAAATGTTCTACTTTACAAAATACATGATTAATTGTCATGTGGTGTGATCAAAATCGATATTGTGCATGATTACAGCACACAGCATGATCGACATCGCATCATAATCAGCAAATCACGAGCCACTTGAATTGTATGTCTCTATTTTTTTTATATTTCTTCTTTTACTTCATAAATAACATCTATGTCTGCCGCTGTGAAGTTTATTTCTTTATTGCGGTGCAATCGAGCCGAACCATTTGTCTATCGCATATATACGAGCACTCGTAACTCGTTCGCGACGTTTTAAACCGTCGGCGCTGAGCGCGGTAATAACATATTATGATCGATACAAAAATACGTAATTACGCTGTGGAAGCGATGCGGCCGGGCGATAAGCGCCGCGTGCGCTATTGTGCGACCGACGATTGTAATTAAACAGAATGGAGAAACTTTGGGAGAAAATCGTGCGGACGAGAATTTGAGATAAACGCGCAAGGCAAGAACTACTAGTTGCAACTGCCGCGTTTGCTTCATTGGCGGGCGACAAGCGAAAATAATTATTAAGTGTGAATTGTTAAATGCATAGTTGAATAGCAAATATACTCGCAAAATATGTTGTATTTGCATGTGCGCAAGTGGAACACATTGGGATTATTGTATATAAATTTATTTAGTATAAAATTGATGGCTTCAGATCCAAAATATTAAAAAATATTAAACTTTATAGTCGTGTTAGTTACAACATTTATAACTCAAAAATACATGAATAGACTTTCATGTTTTTTGGATTTGTTTCTGCCCCGAAATGGAGATTTACAAAGAAAAACAAAATAATGCATTATTGTTGCCTATGTTAAATTAATTGTGACCAGCTACAAGTCGCGGCGCTGCAATCGTCATTTTGAGGTCTCATTTTTTTTATTGATAGATGTAGATGGCGCCTTTGTGTCTTACATAACTAACCTCAACGGATCAAAATATAAAAAATTATAACTTGAAGAATGATAAATAAGGAATGAAAAGTGGTACAGAGAATCAATCATAGTTATAGCTAAATAATTAGATCCGAGTTGGTGCTAAAGTGCATTATTAACATTTCTCACTAAAAAAATGCGAATCTTATTGAGAAAATCGACATAACTAGGTCTTAAACAAGAAAGTAACAAGTAATTACATTTTTACTAAAAACTCGTCTCAAACAAAAGTTAATTCTTCACCAAATTATCCACTCATTAATTATATATTTTTTACTTCTAAAATTATTTTAATAAAGTTTACATTTTTTGCATTATTAAACCTCATAGAACAATCTTTTGGGTTACGGTCGTCTCCATCTTGTTGTGTTTTTGTTTTTCCATTTCTCTAGTTCCTTCTTGTTTAATCTACACCAGCATTGGCATAATGCACCATTGCGCGAGGCCAGATATAAGATAAATCGCTGAATATTCAAATTATGCTTTGCGCGTCCGCTGCGCCGAAGAGAATTCCCGATTCGTTGCGAAGCGCCAACTGAGAATACAGTTAAAAGTTGTGAGCTTGCAAGACGCGCGGTAATATTATGCACGTTGAAGGCAGGTTATGAATGGGTTCCCAATACACAATACCAGCGCGTACACGCGTAGACATTACTGTGCATGTAATTACGATGAACATTTTGATTTTGCACGGAACCCGCAAATGTATGGATTTATCTTGGCATTGGCATTTCACACAAATAAATAAAAAGCAAAAATCTGGACATTATAACTGTGCATGTCGTTTTTGCAAAGGTTTTTGAACATTTTTCAAAAATGCAGCTATTTATATACACAGGAGGGGTTAGTTAAAGCATTTATAACTCGAGAACGGTTGGGCAGATTTTGATAATCTATGATTTGTTGGAATTGTCTTTGTCTCAAATTACAGAATAATTATTAAAATATCAAAAATTTGACTTACAAGGTGTTAAATCAGGGATGAAAGTTTGCATAGCAATTCAACCATAGTTATAGTTAAATAATTGGAAACCAGATGGCGCTAAACTGCATTATTAGCATTTCTCATAATTTTTAAATTAAAATGGCAAATATTATTGATGGAATCGATACATACTAAATCTTAAACAAGAAAATAATTGATCTCAATTTTTCAAAAAAATCTGGGTACAAATGTTATTAATATTTAAATATTTACATTTAATTTAAACCTATTTTTAAATTTTCTCCGCTGGATGTCATTACTTCCCAAAATAAATTATCTTTTCATTGATTTGTTTTTATTTTTCTAATATAAACTGAATTCATTTTAGTTTAACGACAAAAACACAAAACCGGTAAAGTAAAAGCTACTTTAGACCATCTACAACACTGAACGCAGAGAATAGCCGTGATATGATTAAAACGATTAAAGGTGGATGCGACGCAACTTTCACGCACGGCCAGCGTGCGCGAATTTCGATTTTTTCCCGTTTTAGTTCTCCAACTCGCTCGACTTTGAGTTGAAGTTTGAGTTCGCGGCCAGTAAACTTGAATCTTGATTCACTTCTTACTAATACTGTATTTACACATGGATAAATCGAAGTGAACACAAGTGAAAACTTTATACACCTCGATTTTTCTCGCACTTTCTTAGCTCAGGTATTAAGTTACTTTTGAAAACCTTTTTGAATGCAGAAAAAGTGAAAACTAATCATTAACACTCTGAATGATATTTGATAGGTGTGAAATTGAAAATAATTGTGTTTGTTCAGCGCGGAAAAAGAAAATGATTTTTCCTTTCAGATTGGTTTATGATAGACAATTAAAATTGAGATATTGCGAAAATAATTATTATCAGTTCCACGGAAATGTTTATTGTGTGTATGAAAACTACTTCGGTAATGATAACTACACCATTGCGTCATAGAAATATCTCATTCGCGGTTGTAATCATAAAACTAGAGTAACTGCAATAATTCTTTTTCCAAAATAATTAAAAATCCACACAACCAGGAAAAAAAAACTTACATTGGCGCTAGCAATTAGTTTGCTTGGCTGCTGTTGTCTTGTATTTGTTGTTGTTGCGTCAAAAGTCAAAATGGAAAAATAATGACACTTGTCACAACAGAAAAAATATAATCAACTGGTCGATTCACTTTTAACGATGTAACTTTCTTTTAGAGTTAATTTAATTTTTACAAAAATAACAATTTATTCTATGATGAATTGAATACACCTAAGTGTTTATTCAATAATACTCCAGATGGTCAATTTATCAATCGGAAATTGCAGTACGCAAAACGGAATTACCCGCAATGTGCACTATGTGCGCAATGCAGAAACGATTTACACTTTCAATAACTGTTCCGTACCGGCGCGCGTTGTCGGCTACATATTCTTTTCTTTTGCGTGCGGCGAAGAAAGGACTTCAAGTTCAACGCACCAAAATCAACAAAGTCGGCGCGGAGCGCTTTTGCACGTGCTTTCTTTCGCGGTGTGCCGCCTGCGGAGTGTGGCGCGCGTCGCGTTCTTGCAAGAACTGAGCCGCGATGGTAGCGCAAAATGTCTTAAGTCTGAACAGGTAGACCAACGGCACTCGTAGTAGTAGTAGATACCACGGCAGGTGATGGTAGTGTGATGGTATGTTGGTTGTTACCGTCACGAGCAGCCACTGCGTGGCCATTGGGCACGTAAAGTATGTACAAGGACCGCTATTAGATTTGAAATTAATGTGAGAACCGATGTTTACATATTTGCAATCATTTTTATTACTGCTTAACCAGTTACGATGAAATTTAAGTTAATTTTATCATATTATTAACTGTTATGGCAATATTTATATCGCCAAATCAATGAAAGTGGTCTTAAATTTATGTGTAATTAAATTTATTTTGTGTTTGTTTTTATGATAAAGTGAAAATTAGAAAGAAAAATGTTATAATAACTTGGCAGAAAATGACTTTTTTTTTAAATTTTTTGATTTTTGTAAATCATATTAATTAATATCAAACATTTAGATAATATAAAGACTAAAAACGTAAAAAACTTAAATTTTTGCAATTTTTTTTGGAACCGTTTTTTTCAAATGATTTTATTAAATTAATTTAAGAAATATTTTTAAAAGTAGAATTACAAAACCAAGTGGTTCTTAATTTGGCTAATAATTCCCTATTTAGATTATTTTGAGGTTAAATTAATGATATTTTTTAATTTCTTTGCCAAATATATATTTTTACCTCATAAATATCAAAATTTCCACTTTCTTCACTATTTTTTTGAAATTTTTGAAAAAATATATTTAATCTGCTCTGCAAACAATTTAATAACAAAATTACCAATTACATACATCTGGATGCATTTTGAAACGTTAAAAATCCATGATCACCGCTTTGGTAACCGTTTCGAGATCCTCAATAAATTTTACCATGCCCGCATGGAATATCTTCATACGTTTATACTAAAACTGAATGACAATTAGTCCCACTTGTGCAATTCACCTCTAAACTCGCAAGTCTGTGAAGCGAAATAATTATAAAAAGCGTATGTAACTGCAATCGACGGGTTTATGCGTTTATCGGCGGAAATTTATGCTCCTGCGTGCTTTAGCAGTTTCCGTTCAGTTTGGTCCGGCCGGTCGCAAAGTGGGCGCATCGCAACCGGCAAGTTTTCAAAGTGGGTTTTACTGATAATGGTTTATACAGTTGAGATTTATGTTTGGTATCGAACAAAAATGATTACAGAATATAGTCATCCATCTGCCGATGCAATTCATCGTTTAAATGTATATAAAAATATAAAAATACATAATTTTTTATTAAGTAATATAGATTTTGTTAGGTTATGTGATGATTAGAGACCGACCGAAATTTCGGTTTCGGTTTCGGCCAGTTTCGGCCAAGAATTCGAGTTTCGGCTTCAGTTTCGGTTTCGGCCAAATATTGCCGAAACTTTCGGCCGCACCGAAACTCACTTTTCGTGAATTGTCGTGCGTCGCTCGGCTAACTTCGCGGCTAATGGCGGCCGTTATTTGCCATCTCAGTAATAACGTTTAGCCATGTGATGCTTACGCTATTTTTTCTACTTCTACTCAATTTCCACGATTAAGTTTTTATATTTGAACTTTTTTATTTCAAGTCATCGAAATACGCCAGCACACTATTAGAAAATGTAAGGTTATTTATGCCGTGCCGCTCAGACACGAGCAGAAGGCGCTACTTCGACTTAATAGACTGACGGCGCATGACATTTCATATGACTGTACCTGTGCTGTACCGTAGGCAACTGCGCAGGCGTAAGCTTTGCCCTGTGACTAAAGCCCGTGATTAAAGTATTTTGTAGACTTTAGCGCAATCTCGGTATCAATTATTTAATTATAACTATAATGGAATTTTAATGCTAATTTTATTTAACACCCTTTAAATCGCAAATTTTCATATTTTAATAGTTATTCTGCTATTTGGGGCCGAGACAAATCCAACAAATTGTAGATCCCTCAAATCTGTCCAGCCGGTCTTGAGTTATAAATACTGTAACTAATCAGACTTTATAAAATGTATTTATTAAAATAATTTTGTGATTTTCTTGGATTTTACAATTTTGTATGCGAGTTTTACATGTTTCGCCCTGTGGGCATCATCAGAAACAACTTAGAAAATAATATAATCAGACTTTGTTTTATAAACTGGTATATGTGTTTTAAAACTTATTTTTATATCATTAAATTAAACATATTATCCTCATATTTTGAAGTGTAACTGTTAACATGATGCATAAAGTCATAAATTTAACATTTATTTAACACTAATTAAATTAACACAAAATGTTGTCATTAACATTGCGCAAATTCCATGCAATACCATGTTTTAACTTCAGTAATAAACACATGTAGTATACATATTACTATCCTCATAAAATAATTGAAATTAAACACTTATTATGCTCATAAGTATAAAAACAAACTTTAAAAAAACTAATTCCTTATTTGCATTCATTAAAGTGGTTAAACTGTTACACCAAGCAGAAATTGAATGTTTTTATCGCATTTCTTCGACACCATCAAACCGCTGTTGATTGACACCCAAACCGCAACCACAATCAACTTTTCAAACTACTATTTAAACATCTTAAAACATCTTTAATCGACTTGTCGCAAAGTACAACGTCAACAACAACAAAAAAAACTTTAGAATATTCACCTAACGGAAAACGTTATAAGGATTTAAGTATTATTAGCGACGCATGACAAAAAAAACTGCAACAAATCGGAAGTTAATTCAATAAATAATTAGCGTATTGTTTGTCTGGTAGGCTGATGTCAGTCCGAAACGAAAGTGTGAAATTGAACACAATTGCATGGATCCGAGCGATTGATTTTGATATTTTCTGCTTTAAATTATCCGTTACAAGATTTACAACCAGTTATGCAATTGCTATAGGAGAATTTGCTAAAAATAATTATTTTAAACTTAATAGAAAACATAACCTATCAAATTAGAAATGTCAAATTGTTTCACAACCTATAAATGTAATATTAGTTTATGATTTAATAAATAGAGGGCGCTTTAACATCCAATCTTGATTAAACTTGCGTTTTCATTATTTTAGTTATTCTACGTAAAAATAATAATTTTTCCTTTAATAAAAACAATTTTTTTTATATATTTTTGAATTTTTTACACCACAAGTTAATATATTACAAGTTTTTGGTCTTAATTTCTGTTATTATTATATTATAATGAGTACGAATATTAACTTAGCCGCAGTCACGGTTATTCTCATTAGTCACCTTCGTCCGCTTCCAGCCACATTGTTTAAAATCGTTTTGTCTTCGTAATGAATCAGCGAGCATGCGAGCCGAAAGAAGAAAGGCATCGCCGCGTTGAAGAAGAAACGAATTACAATATCGCCACGATACCATAATACAATCGAAAGTAATAACGCATTATTAAAGCATTATGTAGCCACCACTTGACCGTGCGCTTCTTTTTTCTTTACACGTAAAGAACAACAACCGTATTTGCACACAAACAAAACTCTTAACAAAATAAACGAATTTAACGATATTTTCATCCGGCTGCGGCAAGAAGGACGACTTTGGAGGACTTATGGAAATAGTGGAATCAACGCACACGAAAACAATGATTTAATACAATAATCATTAAATATAAGTGTTACACGAACAAGTGGATATTTCGCAATGCAGCTGAAAATACTTAACAATTTTCAAATTCTCAACACGCGTAAAAATCGAATAATTATCTTGCAGGCTATAATTATGTATAATATTTGTCAAAATAATAACTATTTACGATTACCGGCAAGACTGGAAGCTTGTAAGCAGGTGAATTAGCAAATATTGAAGCATTACTTCGCTTTGTGCCGCGAATTCAGTGCATTTCTGCATTTTGCAATGTGAGACAGTTTAAATATTCGATTCGCCAATAGCGTAACGCCGTAATACAAGAACGCAAAGAATTCCTTAACGAGCGCACTCGGTGCAGCATTGCGCTCGCATTTTAGTGCTTTCCCTAAGGATATTAAGGTGCATTGTGCGAGAAAACGCTCGTCTCGTTGCGTCGTTTTCGCTTACGCAATATCACAATTAAAATGCACTCTGTAAACCAAGCAAAGCGAGCGCGCGGTGCGTTATGCGTTCGTTTACAGCCACCAACTAGTCATTTGTTGCATTCATATCGCGAACAAGCGAACAATATGTGGGAAAAGTTGTGAAAATTTGTTTTCTTCGGCGGATAATCTCGTTCAAAACGCTCAAAACATGTGATTAACATCGTTTATAACTAGAACAATGTTGGTATAAACACGCAGCAGGTAAATTAAGATACTATTTACATTTTAATGGGAAAATTGAGTACGTAACTAGTGTTTCTTGCTAATAATTTGCAGTTATGTTTTGGTTTTCGCCAACTTTTCACGTCAATCTTTTAACGCAACTTACAGGACATACCGCGACCTCTGTCGGTGGAAATTTTAAACTAATATAATTTAAGTGTAGATGTCGCTAAAGTTTTATTGATTAGGCTTGTTTTTAAACATATGTTTAAACTATGATTCGATTACTTAATCAAATATTCACTAAACAGTTCAATAATTCGATAATTACGGAAGCAGAGTAAGCATAATCGATTATTTAACCAAAGTAAACACTTGAGGCAACACATGCCAGATCGATAAACTAGTGAGTGCTTTATAGAAGTCAAGGGCAAGACTGTTGTGAAACGTATGTCAAACAGCGAGAAATATCTGTTTTGCAAATGTAAAAGCCTAAAATGCAAACACAAACACAAACACCTTGAATTATTTGCATAAAAATACGTATACTACGCAACTGTGCGCAATATAAGCAATACGTGAATGGCAGCAATTAAAGCGAATAATAATCGTGTTTTCGCGACTGTCGCGCATTGGTAAACATGGGAATTTTACAATTTCGAACGTGTTTCGTGCGTAAATCAGCAAGTCAGTTGCTGCAGTTGTCAACAATCGGTTGACTCGCGAGGAGTAAACAATGTGTCGGTGTCGCCTCTGACGAAATACAACGGCCGACACACGATTCGACCCTCAATTAGACGCAAATAGATAGCGATCACACTGATACACATTTCGATATTCACGCGTTAGTCATACACACGCGCGATTTCGTCGTCGTTAGGCGTGAATATTTCCGCACTCAAAGCGCACATTGTCCGTGCGTGCGATCGTGGAATCTTTTTGCCTTCAGAATAAAGATTAACAGTTCAGTGGTGTTTTAGTGGTTAAGTGTTTTATGCAGGTTGTCAGTGGTAATAAGAATACCCAACGGTAATGTCTCTGGATGATGGATTTAGCAAATTTGATTTCGAACATTGACGCGCGATTCGGCTCAATCTTCCACAACACATGGAAGGACCAGTTCGATTTGTTTTTCTCCAACGACTCCAATGAGGTACGACCTTTAAATCTACGTATGCTGTAGTGGGAATAACGACAATGAATGTCAATTCCACTCATTCACTTCTTGATTTCTCTGTTATTAACTCATGTGATGTTGTTGCAGCCTTTGTACTTGTTAATTGTAGCTATTGCTACAACTATATTGACTGCTGTTGTTCTACTATTGAGAAGATGGGACAAAAAAGGTTAGTATAAGAAGTTATTTGAAAGAACATGTTTGCTAAACAAGTCTTAACTTGTTTGTCATTGAATTACTACAAAACAACTGAAGAATCATTCACAAATTTACTTCCAATAGTCAAGTATAAGTACAAAGGAGCTTAATTTGAAGATTAATTGATATTTGTACTTCTATTGTTATATTAGCAATCTCAAATCAGTTAATCATACAATATTATCAAAGCAAAGTAGGTATTTTTGCGCAATTGAAGGTTTTTATGGAGGTGCTACATATTTGTGTACTTATAAAGTGATTTTTAGATCATTCGAGTGATTAGATTAACAAATAATTACTTTAATATCGTGCACAAAGTTATAAAATTAACATCACAGACTTTCAATTAATGCTAAATTAAAACCTGCAGTGATTTTTAAGCTGAAAGGTTGTTTACTTCTTCATAAAAAGTTTTTATCAATAATATTTGTACATGATACTTAATCATGTAATACCTAAATATTTGATGTTGGATAGTTTATTTGATAAAAAGGTTAAATCAACAGCAATAGGTGTTTTTCTTAATAAACCTGTTTGGAATTGACGTAAAACATTAATTTCTGCTGATTTTTTTTTATTTTAAATGTTTTATGGTTGATGATTTGTCTTACTTTGTATTCAGGAGATAAATAGATAAGTAATTAAGATGGAATTCAAAGTTCAAACTTATTCTATAAGTAGATATATACTAAATTTCTATTGGTTCATAACGAATGTGTTAAATTGATGATATTTTTGTTAGAATATATTTTAATTTTTTTTTTCAATTATCATTTCTAGTGATTGTGAGAAAGGAGTCTTTGACACCTGGTTTGCGTTTCCGCAAACGCGACAAAGCACTATTCTATGGCCGGAAGATGCTGCGGAAGGTCCGCTCCATCTCCGGCCAGGTGCGAAATTCTGGACAAGGACGAAAGCGTAAGATGGTCATGAAATTTGCACGACGATTGCTACAGTTAAAGAAGGAAAATGAGGCCGAACAACTCAAGGTAAAAAATATATTCTACAATTTTGTTTATTCATTCATTTATTTATTTTCAAATCTAGGTTTTGGAACCTCCAGCAGAATACCTCCAAGAAGATATTAGCGATGAGCGAATGCCGCCTGATTTACTCTACATGTTCCAAAACATTCGCGTGTTCGGCCATTTTGAGAAACCGATATTCCTAAAGTTGTGCAAACACACAGAAATCATGACGGTGCATGCCGGAACATATTTATTTAAAATTGGTTAGTATACAATTACACACTGCGAGATTAGATTATTAAATATTTATGTAATTGAGTTCGCAATGTATATGTTATTGTTGATTTTGCTTGTCATGTTAGGTGATCCGGACGAAAACATTTATATTCTTCAGAATGGTAAAGTGCAAGTGTTTATAACAATGGACGGTACCACGCTACCGCTGAAGACGGTGAAGACAGGCGAGTCCGTTGCGTCGTTGCTAAGTTTCGTTGATGTTTTAAACGTAAGTGATTAGTACACCACTGTATATCCTGCGCACGTGTTTAATGTGTAAGCGTAAACAGATTCAAGGACTTACGCATTGCCATTTAATATTTATAAAACAATATTTATATGCATGCAACTTTTGCGAGGTGCAAAAATACACATCGTTTAGTAATTTTTTATTAATCGACTTTTTAATGATATGATAATGATTTGTATTTAGTTATTGATATAAATATCAACAAAATCATTTTTAATTTAAAATTTTTCTTTTAGGGTTACAAAAAACCTTACCGTACGATATGTGCGAAAGCTTTAGAAGATTCAACAGTTGTTAAACTTCCAATGTCCGCATTTTCGGAAATTTTCAACGATAATCCCGAAGTGTTAATTCGTGTAATTCAAGTTATAATGGTTCGATTGCAAAGAGTAACTTTCACTGCTCTGCATGATTATCTTGGCTTAAGTGCAGAACTTATAGATCCTGTAAGTTATTCTGACTTTTAAAATATTTGAAATATGAATTGATCGATTTTTTTAATATATTAGTTGCCGCGTCCATCAAAACGCCCTTCAACAGTGCAACTTTCCCCAAACAAAGGACGAAAACACACCGATCTCTTTGAAAACCCAGACCCGATGCCTTCTTCATCTACAGCCACTATCCCGATAATGATTCCAAAGACGCCAGTAGTCTCGAAAACTCCGTCTGTGCCTGTAAGACACCGCAATTCATTGAATAATACACCTGATATGATTCCCGATGGTGAGCGACACTTTGTGCCTGATATTCAACTGGATGCTGGAATGACTGATGAAGATGATAGGCGGAAACAGAGTCGGGAGAATAGTGAATATGCTGCTCTTGCACTGGAAGCTTTCCAACAGGAACTGCGACTTGATGACGATTCGGTTTTACAAGATAAAGTTGAGATTCGTGAAGTTTCTTCGGGGACGTTCCTAATGAAAGAAGAATCACATAAGGTTAGTATAAAAATTTATCTTTGAATTTTTGATGTTTTATTATTATTTTTTTATATTTATAGGATGTTGCGTTAGTTTATGTTCTTACTGGAAGTCTAGTCATCTCCCAGCGCACATCGGATGATGCCAACGAAGTTAGCACGTATACTGCACATCCTGGTGAATTCGTTGGTGGACTTGCAGTTCTTACTGGCGAGCCAAGTTATTTCACAGTGCGCGCAAAGCACTTTTCACGAATTGGACTGATATCCAAGACAACATTTTACAAGTAATATAACCCACATGTTTTTTTTTATTAGTTATTAATTTTTTGTTGATAGTTTACTTAAAGATCAACCAAGAGTGGCCTTGCACGTCGCCAACATTGTAATCCGTCGATTGTCACCGTTTGTACGGCAAATTGATTTTGCCTTAGACTGGATTTTCCTAGAAGCTGGCCGTGCTGTTTATCGACAGGACGAAGAAAGCGATTCCACTTTCGTGGTACTCTCCGGACGTCTACGGTCTGTTATAACGCATGGTAACGCAAAAAAGGAACTAGTTGCTGAGTATGGCCGAGGCGATTTGCTTGGTATTGTCGAGATGGTCACACAAACTCACCGCAGTACTACTTTGATTGCTGTACGGGATACAGAACTCGCTAAACTCCCAGAAGGATTATTCAACACGATCAAACTCAAGTATCCGATTGTTGTTACACGCTTGATTAACTTATTAGGTTTGCGTATTCTTGGCACCTGGCAGAATCCTAACTTGACCAGCAGGAAGATTCAAACGAAGCAACCTTACGATGCAAGACCATCACAGTTGAATTTCTCTACGGTTGCGATTGTTCCGGCGTCTGATGATGTGCCAATGACTGCGTTTACCTTTGAATTGTATCATTGCCTCACCGCATTAGGTCCAACTGCTCGTTTAACATCGGATGTGGTACGGAAAGCGCTCGGTACAACGATAATGGATCCTAACAACGAATATAGATTAACTTCATGGTTAGCGCAACAAGAGGATCAACATAAAATTTGTCTCTACCAGTGCGATAATAATTACACAGTATGGACGCAAAGATGTGTGCGACAAGCTGATTGCATCCTTATTGTTGGTTTGGGTGATAAGGAACCTATCGTTGGAAAAATGGAGAGAGAAATTGAGCGTGTTGCCTTGCGGACGCAGAAAGAATTAGTGCTTTTGCATAGGGAGGTGAATGGAAAACCGCAAAATACTGTGGCGTGGTTGAACATGCGTTCGTGGGTATCTTCACATCACCATATTTTATGTCCAAAGAGGATGTTTTCTAGGAAATCTTTATATAGAATTGTAATTGTTTTATAGTTAGCACCGCAAACAAATCGTATTAATATTTGGTTATTTTAGAATGAATTATACTCAAAAGTCTGCTTGTCCGAGCCGAATATTCACTCGGACTTTTCGCGTCTCGCAAGATGGTTGACGGGAAGGTCTGTGGGGTTAGTGCTTGGCGGTGGTGGTGCTCGTGGTTCAGCGCACATTGGAATGATTAAGTCCATAATTGTAAGAATACGCAAAGTATTTTTTAAATAATTTCTATGTTTATATTATAATATTTTTAGGAAGCTGGAATACCAATTGATATGGTTGGTGGAGTAAGTATTGGTGCCTTTATGGGTGCCCTTTGGTGTAAGGAGAGAAATATAACTACAGTGACACAAATGGCGCGTGAATGGTCCAGAGTATGTTTAATAATTAATTCTTTTGTTACAAGCGTATCATGAATTTTATTTATTTAGAAAATGACACAATGGTGGCGTCAGATAATGGACCTGACGTACCCGATGACTTCCATGTTCAGTGGACGTGATTTTAACCAGACAATTCGCGGCACATTCGCTGATACATTCATCGAAGATCTCTGGTTGCCGTATTTTACGGTGACCACCGACATTTCGGAGTCATGCATGCGGGTACACAATCATGGTGAGTCGCATTTTGTTACAATTCAACCTTGACATTGCAAACTTACGATTTTTCTTTTAAGTTAAACTAACTCCATGAGTAGTTTTCAAATATGATATTATGGAGGTAGTTTTATTAAGTTACCTGCTTGATATTTTTAAAAGTGAAATGAAAATTGATAAGTTTTGCTTCTGCACATCATTGTTCATCCTTACAAATCCATTTGAGGCAATGTTCATACCCAAAAAAGACATTATACACCCCCTTGAAAATACACAAGCAAGGCATTTGTAAACGTATGTCCGAATGTGTTTTCGCAGCAGATATTGTGATTGGTTAACTTATTCTAGTCGATATTGTCGCTTTACATGATGCAGAATGTGATGCATTCGAAAAGTGGAAAATAGCGTACACACTCTTATGTTTTGTTATGTTTGCATTTTATGTAGACTGCTTTACTGAATGTCTCTTAGTCGGTCCAAAGCACTTGTACAAAGTACATTTGTGGTACGTATATTTTCGCAGTTCGTCCAAAATTCTCTCAGTGTGCGCGATCTGTTCTGTGTTGTGGGCGACAATGGCGTATCTGCGTAACATCATGATAATGTAGCTGTAGAACCCGATGGGATGTAGCATGCATGCGGTTGAACTAGTTTAATAATGGATAATGTTGTTGCGAAGATGCAAAACTTAGTTATTCGCTGTGTGTGTCGCAGGATCGCTGTGGCGTTACGTGCGCTCGTCCATGTCGTTGTCCGGCTATATGCCGCCGCTGTGCGATCCGATCGACGGCCATCTTCTGCTCGACGGAGGCTACGTCAATAATCTACCAGGTGAGCATAATTCGTGAGGCACGCACCCCACATGCAAAATGGGCGAAAGGTAGGTGGGCATGTTTTCTTCTATTATATTCTCTTGTGGGTACTTGTGGCCGGAAGCGATATAAGGTAACCAATCACGATATTTGTGTGCCACGATGCAAACGCTCCTCTCACCACCGACACTTATATCATCGATAACACCGAAAAACGCAAATTAAGTGCGGTTGATTGTGACACGCAGGACACGTGTGGCGATATGTGCGCGCCAGCATGACGTACGTCGGCATCTTTCCGCCGATGTGCGACCCGGTTGATGGACACTTCCTCGTCGACGGATGCTACATCAACAATGTGCCAGGTATTTTAATTTAATATTCAAATGTTATCGTAATCAAACTACACACGTATCCGGTGGGTAAGCGATTGATATTTTTCAAGTGGTAATTACAATTTTTGATATTATTTTATTTATTTATTTTATTTCTACAGCCGATGTGATGCGTAGTCATGGCGCTAGTCATATCTTAGCAGTCGATGTTGGTTCAGTAGATGACCAGGACCTCACAAACTATGGTGATGATCTCTCTGGATGGTGGTTACTTTGGAAACGTTGGAATCCTTTCACGACACCTGTGAAAGTACCAAATCTTCCTGATATTCAGTCGCGGCTTGCATACGTCAGTTGTGTGCGGCAATTGGAGGTAAATTTAATCATATGAATACTATATTTACAAGTAAAAATTATAATTTTAACACTTCAGGAAGTGAAAACAAGCGATTACTGCGAGTACATCCGCCCACCAATAGACAAATATAAAACACTGCAGTTTGGTAGTTTTGATGAAATCAAAGAAGTAGGATTCCAACATGGTAAGGCTTACTTTGAAGGTAAACGCCAGGCTGGACAACTACCTACATTTGCGAATGACATGCGCAAATCGTACGTCTTCGCACAGCCGCACATGGGTCCAGGTGGCTATACGTTTACCGATCTAGCGCAGATGGTTTGCACTGTGCGACGGCCCTACGACGACGACACTAGTTCCGAATCAGATTACGATGACGACGACAATCGAGGGTATGCCAGTGAGCCTTCAGTTGGCATCAGCGATGTAAGTTTCATCAAGCGCAACAGTCACGCATAACTTTTTCTTTCGCCATGTTGTTACTTAAACACTCTTTATCTTTAACCTACTCATAACTAATTAACCTGCATGCAATTTCTAGGATTATGCTGACAATCCTTTCACTTGGGATGGTAACGCTAGTACTCTGTAGCACTCAACTATTTCTCTTCCTTAAAACTAATTTTCTAAATGGTTTGGATGCTTTTTTCTTCTTCTTTTTTTTGCTCTTTAAAACTTCACTGTTTTTAAAACAAAGCTTTGATTGCAATTAATTTAAACATAAACGTATTTCTGCTAACATGTTTCGGTTTGGATTTACTTCTAGAAACCTGGGAAACCTTACGGTAGACCTTACGGCTCTTTGTCTGAGAATGAAATGGAGGACGTCGAGTTCGACCTAACGCTAGACAGTAAAGCACTAACCAAATCGGTGATAACCTAATGCTAGTCGGCTATATATTGTTTGGATAATTTATAATAAAATTGTTGTAACGTGCGCCGGCGATGATAGAACCAGAACAAAAACGTCCGCAAACGCGATGCACGAACAATATTGCCATGTATTAATTGATATTACGTATGTTACCCATACAATTATACTCATTATTGTGCTATTAGTTCAATTCGCGATCAGTTCAAACTAATCCAATTGTTTTTCGTTTCTTGTACTGTACCTATTTAAATATTTAATTGAAAAAGTAGCTTTTAAGCATTTTTAAGACGCTAGGAACAAAGACACAATAACCCTGTGATCTCCAATGCATTATGAATAAAAATATTTTATAATTGAAACCAAAAACGTAACAAGTACAGCTTCAGTTGCTTCTGAGTGCATTCGTTAGTGATGCGTTGAAGTTTGCGAGGGCTTGCAGTGCGCTGCCAATCAGATGTAGACTGCCTGTTATCAACACTTCATGGTGGCGATTCGTAGTCATCATATGCTCAAGCGCGGTGTTTACTGAAGGCATGACATGCGCTTTACTCGCATCGTGCGGGAATAATTCACACCATTTGCGCTTATTCATTTGGCACTTCACCAACTGCTCGCTTTCTGGAAAATTGTGGTTGATGTTATCTACAAGAAGAAACAGCTCTTATCAACATTAACATTGCACAAGTCGATAAATCGCCTACCTAAGTTTGTATTTGATGTACTTTGACACACATTTGGTACAAAGTAGACTCTATGAAAGTCGCACTCGTGCAATATTTGCAAATGCGTTTCGACATCTCGACCGCCAGTGCTGTTGAACAGCAATACTCTATGTGGTTTATTCGCGTTTATAACATTATTCTTTGTATTTGATTGATATCCTTTGTACCAGTTGCTGCAATATTGAAGACTTTCGGCTGTATGTGCACCATCGGCATAAAAAGTTGCGTTTTGTGTACGTATCACTTGAAAACGACCCGGCCAACGACAATTTACAAGTCCATCGTGAGTTTTCTTGGAATTTACTTCATGATTATGAGTTTTTAGCCATGTTTCAGTGATTTTCATGGCTAATGATGCATTATTTCTATAGATATCTTCAGGTATGCCATTTTGTACTGGTATGTCTTTTATTGGCTCAACTATTTTTAAATCACACTAAAATAATTTGTAAAAACATCGAAATATTTATGTTATTAATACTTACATTAATTTCATTACTTCGAGACTTCAATACCTCCATAGCTGCTTCACATTGTGGCATACTGAAAGCCCTGCAGCCCTTTTTCATGATTCCACCTTTATGCCACGCAATTTTCTCGATTGTGTTGCCCAACATTGAGGTATGATCTAATCCTAAAGATGTTATTCCCACAACATCACTATGCCTAAAATTTAATATATTAACACATTATATATTTAATGAAAGCAATTAATTACCTTATTACATTTGTAGAATCATATTCACCGCCAATTCCAACTTCGATAATAGCAACATCGACATTTTCCGCCACGAACAACTTGAACGCAACAAGTGTCAACATTTGAAAGTATATCGGCATTGATATCGCATTATCCTTGGACTTGACCAGGTCCGAATACACCTCCCAGAAAGTTTTCGCGAATACCTCGTTATCAATCGCATTGCCATTGATTTTAATTCGTTCCGCCACGTTAATTAAATGCGGCGACGAATAAAATCCAGTTTTGAATCCGTGCGTTCGCAGAATGCTTTCACAGAAAGCGCATGTGGATCCTTTTCCTTTCGTTCCAGCGACGTGGATTACTGATTTCAGTTTATTTATATCAATATTACACCTAAAATATATATTTTTTTTAATTTTAGAATTTTATTTCCCAAATTGCAAGCACGAGACGTGTGTTAAATATTGACATTGAGAGTGGAATTGCTTAATGTTAATTTATGATTATATTTGCCATGGATATATATGTACAAACTCTTATCACTGTTCTTATCAATGTGATTAATATTACCCAGTGAGTGAATATAGCAAGCACACCAAGGATGCAAAATCTACCTGTTCAGGAACGCGTTCATTTTTCCAATGCAGTTTGCTTTCGTTTCTTCATGTGTGCTGTTCGCTGCTTCGACCTCGCGATTTCTAAGGTACTGAGCATTGCTTTGGAGTGTATTAAGTGCATCAATTGCTGCCTGGGGAGACAACAAACAATATTATCATGGAATTGACTGAATAATGTGCGTTTCTGTACATACCTCGTAGCTGTACGTGCCGTTACTGTTGAAACGTGGATGTAACATGTTTGTATTCAAAAAGGAGTTATTCACTTTTATTTTGCACTTTCTTATCAAACACAGCATAATTAACTGTTTGAAGAAGTAAAATGTTGAAGACAATGCGCACTAGGAATAAAAATAGTGTCTGCAATTGATAGAGTATAGAATACGAACATCTTTTGCTGTGTTGAGGGTTTTATCTACGAACTAAACTGATATTAAGATATTCTGACCTTATATTCACAGTTTATCGCGTGCGTACAAATTACTCGAATTCAAATGCGTAGACTCTACCAATCCAAGTAATGATTCGTGGCGTAAACATGCTTCAAGGCCAAGACTCATTTTTACCTGTTTTCTATTGTTGCAATTAACGTTTTTATATGATTCTTGTACACGCACGTTACTCATACAAGAAATACAAATTAAAATTGACATGTGATGTGTGATTTTACCTCAACGGTAGTTTAATTATTCGCCGATCGGTAATCTTCGGATTTCAATCATGCCATAACCTCACTTAAAAAAACAGCTGGCTTTAATAAATTTATTTTTTCATTTATTAAATATTATATTATTACGGTTGGTATTTTTAAATAATATTATTTATAATTATTTGTCTTTTGGTTATATTATTATGATGTGGATATAACAAGTTTCTTTTTTGAAATATTCAGGCTCTTGAGTGAAATATGGCAACACTGCAGAATTTCTCTTCGTGCAACATCGACATTTAAAAGGCAAACCAAACAACGAGTCAGCGAGCGTCAGTTTTATATCAGTCCGAAACGAGCAGACGCGTTGCGTGTTTCGCCCGTTCCGCAGCTCACATTTTCCGATTTCTACATTCCCATCACCATCGCCAAGTGCTCCACAACCAGAAGCAGTCGTGCGGGAACATTGTACACATTTTACATTAATATTTAAAGCCGTACGTGCATGCAGTGCCCATCCGCCTCCAGGTTGGAAATGTGCCTGAAAAACCGTTGAGCGTCGTGTGGTGTCGCAGCACAGCAACACTCACTTAGCTTACTCAATAAACTCCGTGCTGTAAGTGTTTAATCACAACAAGAATTAATATACAAACAATTAAAAATGACGAGCACGGACGTGAATCAGCGCATCCTGAAGGAGTACAAACCCGCTGTGGCGCGGAACCTCTTTCGCACAGAGACCTTTAGCGAACCAAGTACGAAAGTTGTATACGACAGGCACATACCCAGACGGGTGCATAATAATTGGGGGATTGAATTTGCAACTATTCCTGACTCTGCCAGGACGTCACCGGCAGGAAAAAAGGCGAGGGAGACGACAGAATCACCTCGCGACACATCTGCATATAACTGTCTTCTGCGGAATGAACTCCTAGGGGAGAATATTGAGGACATCAAGACACAATGTGACGAGAGACAAGCCTGCACACCACTGAAAAGCAAGAATTTATTTAAATATTCATCACCTCGGGTAAGAAACATTAAATTTTACAGTTATTATAGATATTGCAAATTTAAAAAATTATATTTTGTTATAAGTGCGAAAAGTACGTATTTTACGCACGTTTCCAATACCAACCCGTTAAAAACATACATATGTCTATAAAAAGAAGTATTTTATACACTAGAAAGAAAAATACTCAATATTTTCAACAAGTAGTAATCTTTAGTCGATAATAACATGATGTTAATATTTTGCAATTGATTCTTGACTATTTTGCTCAATTTTTGTGCACATTTCCAATGGTTACCCAGAAAAACAAGCATAAGGATGTTTTATTCATTTGTTGTAAATTTTGTTCTTAGGCCGAAAACTACAAATTTTACACCCGTTTCCAACTCTTGAAAAAACAAACATATGACTATAAAAAGTAGTATTTTATGCACTAGAAGCAAAAATACTGATTATTTATAACCAGTAGTTATCGTTAGTTGCTAATAACATGATGTTAACATTCTTTAATTAATTCTTTGACCCTTTTGCACAATTTTCTCATTGTGTTTTCAATTGTTTCCATCGTAAACAACATTATGACCTGACCCATTTCGAAAATGAGGCCTCAGGTAGAAAAACGGTCACAATTCGCATAATAATCATACATTTACATACTTAATATGAAGGAAATCGTACAAATCACAAAATCAATTATCGTCTATTATCGTCTATTGTGTGTTGTTGACTTTAGGAACGATTAGCATGTCTGTTTGGTGTCTTCGAAAGTCTTTTTCCTGTCTGGACGCCATATAGATTATTCTAAGTACCGTAGCAATACGGTCACTACGGAAATATTATACATGTTGTCATTGGCTTGATGACTGTCTAGTCTAGTCCCAATCTTAGTCTGGCAACCAGCATATTAGTTTGCATGCACATTCAGTCTTGCCATACAGAGTCCACTCGGAGAAACTTGTCATTGCCGACATTCTAATGAGTAATAACAAGCGATAATTGAACGCAAGTCAAGTAACTTTAGTCACCAAGTGCATATTTTTAGTTTGTTTGTATAAGCCCGAGCGTAATCGGCTGCAACATTCTCTGTAATCTTGCTTGTTACATACATATTGAAATTTCGGTTGCAACATTACTGAAAATACGGCATTCGTTACGGGTGTGATTACACAGGTCGCGTTGATAACATGTCCCAAATTATATTCCTGTGATAAAAATGCATTCGTATTTTATTACTTGTGCTGTATTTTGTTTTATTTTATGCTGAAATATATCCAATAGGATGATTTTCGTGCAATCAGCTGATATTGAATAACTAGCAATGTGCAATTTCGCTATTTTTGCTAAACTGCTGACTGCATAGAATTGATATTTTGCATACAAGCTTATTCATGGAATAATAAATAAGTGACATCAATTTTATCGAACTAAAATTACAATTGTGAAAACCACATGTGGTTTTGCTAATCAGGTGGTTTTTATTTTAGTTCATGGAATTGAAAGCGAAGCAAAATTGAAAAATGACTCGATACCAGACACAGCTTTTCATTTTACTGCTTATCCAACATGTCTATAAATATTAATAAGACAAAAATGTATTTCTTATCGTTCATATTTTACTTCACTTATTTGGTTACCTGTATCGCTACAGTTATGTCGAAGTGCCGAAGTAAATTTTTACCAAATGGGAAATGACAATCGCTCGTTGCACAGCGTAATCGGAACCGGAAACACATTTTTGGACGAGCGACGACCCATCGCCGGAATTACCGTGTCAACTATTATTACACGCCGGTGACTTATTCCGATGCATGCGTAATTTGAACGAAACTCAGTATTTCGAAACCTGAAACATTTTCAATGCAGTTTTATTTCTATGAGAAGATATTTTCTAGATAGGCAACTTTATGAATTAGGTCAATGTCTATGATATATTTATAATCTTTACGACTAATATTTTATTGTTGTTTTCGTTTTCAGATGGATAAAACACCTGTTAAACTACAAACCAGTCCATACTCGTTATCGCCTCTAAGTCACAGCAGTCAGCGTTTGCTGCGCTCACCACACAAAGCGACGCGCAAGATTTCACGCATTCCCTTCAAAGTGTTGGATGCACCTGAGTTACAGGATGATTTTTACCTTAACTTGGTGGATTGGTCAGCGCAAAACGTGCTCAGCGTCGGATTAGGCAACTGTGTATACCTGTGGTCAGCATGCACAAGTCAGGTCACACGTTTGTGTGATTTATCAGGAGACAATAATGCAGTAACTTCAGTGGCGTGGAGCGAACGCGGCCATCTTGTTGCCGTTGGTACGCATCATGGCTACGTGACAGTATGGGATGTGGCGTCGAATAAACAGGTGAATAAACTGCAGGGTCATACAGCACGAGTTGGCGCACTTGCATGGAATGGCGATGTGTTAAGTTCAGGCAGCAGGGATAGAATTATCCTGCAAAGGGATACAAGAACACCCCGTAAGTAAATTCAGTTAAGGTATGCAACCAATAATACTCACAATGGCGGAACTGTCTTTTTTTTTTTACAGCAACCGTGGTTGAGCGTCGGTTGACAGGACATCGACAAGAAGTGTGCGGTTTAAAATGGTCACCGGATAATCAATATCTCGCATCGGGCGGTAATGATAATCGATTGTACGTATGGAATATGCAGTCGTTATCGCCGGTGCAAACATACACTGATCATCTAGCCGCGGTGAAGGCTATAGCGTGGTCACCGCATCATCATGGCTTGCTTGCTTCCGGCGGTGGTACGGCTGATAGATGTATTCGTTTCTGGAACACTTTGACGGGACAACCAATGCAATATGTGGATACAGGTAAATTTAAATCATTACATGATTATCAGACAAGTATTTATTACTATTTTTATGTCAGGATCACAAGTGTGCAACTTGGCCTGGTCAAAGCACAGCTCTGAATTGGTGTCGACGCACGGCTACTCACAAAACCAGATTTTGGTATGGAAATACCCTAGTTTGACGCAGGTCGCCAAGCTTACAGGACACTCATACCGCGTGTTGTACCTTGCGCTTTCCCCCGATGGCGAAGCGATCGTCACTGGCGCCGGCGATGAAACACTACGCTTCTGGAACGTGTTCAGCAAAGCGCGCTCACAAAAAGAGACTCGTTCTGTGCTCAGTCTATACACGGGCATTAGATAAAACAAAATCAAACAACACGCTAATTCTAAACAAAGTATCTAACAAGATTTTAAATTATTTTTACACGATGTAGATACTTTACGACGAGGAGTGATGAACGCTGATCTGATCTGATTTGATCGCTTATATTTACAGAATGTTTTATTCCGTTTTTACTATATTATTTATTTAAATGATTTGTAATCTGTTATATTACAAAGCATTGCCTTTATATTTATATTTGGATGATATCATGTGTTCATATTTAAAATTTAAACAATATTCGGTGGGAATTAGCGAGATTATTGTGATAGTACAAAGATGAGGAGCGTTAAAAAGTTTAGCAATAATTTATAGATTTAAAAGAGTGTACTTGAGTTGATTGTGTTGTTTGAATATTATTGCGCTTGGATTTCTAAATGCCCATGACTGTTCAAGCACTTTTGATTGACAAAACGTGTGTTAAATCAGGTTATGAACCAAAGTCAGTCATTAGATTATAGGTTATGCTATAGAGTATATCAAAAATCAAACAAGAGAAGAATTGTTTACTATTTTCTGATATATAGTATATTTTTCAACACCGGAAAGAAACTTTCCGTAAGATTGGGTGACTATATTAGTATTAAGAATCTAAAAATATTTAATTAGATTAGTGAATGCTGATTGGAAAAGGACATTATATAATTTCGTGAAGGTTGATGTGTGCAATATGATTTATCAAGCCGAATTCAGTTTCAATATCATTGTATATATTTTTGTTTTGTAATCATCATTTGTAGACATTAGACACATAGATAAATCAAATTCAAAAATAATTTGGAAATTTTTGGAAATTTCGAAACGTATACATATGATTCAACAAAGTTATTTGTTATCGTTGAGTGGTGAGACTACTCTAAATTCTTGTATGCAACATTTAAAAGCACTGCATCAATAACATTTCAATCAATAATGCGTTCATAATTCGAATTGTTGAATATCTTAAATCATCTCGTCATTTCAGTGAAGGTGAAAGTGAACGATTATTCAATTAGTCTAATAATATTGTACAAACTATATGCATATTATACTTGTACAATAGATACATTTATTTTTGTAACAATTAGCTTAAAATCACTTACCGATTATTTGTATGCTAGGAATAGGAAAACTCAACATTTGTAATCATTGTAAATATCGTGAGTGCGCTTCGGCTTGTTTTAATCGCTCAGCAGCGAATCGCGTTCCGGCAGCTGGCGGACTTTCATGCTGCCGTCGGCACCGCAAGAAAACAAACGACCGCCTCCGTCGATGTGGAGTTGCGTGACACCCTGACCGATGTTCTTGAAGAAGCTGCTGCGGGCGTGCTCAGACGGTAAAGCGGTAAGAAGATTCGGCACCATAACTCCCCAAATCTAAAATTAACAAATCGTGTTATACTTCCACACGTGCATAATATTGATGTATATGTGGTAGGTAAGGAAATTACCTTGATATCTCCATCCGCTGCACCGGTCGCGAAGTATTCTTCGTGCGGGTCTATGGCTACGCACTTGACGGCGCTCTCGTGCGCTTGGAAGCGATGCCGGATGACTTTCGCGCGCACATCAATCATACACACATCCCCACGCTTGCCGGCCGAGATTAGCACCTGATGTTGCGGCGCGTAAACCAGACTACTCGCGCCCTGCTCGTGGCACGTGAAGGCACACACGAGCGATTTACCTTGCGGCAAGATGGAGTCCCAGATGCAGACGTTCTTACTTTCCGAGCTGTGCCCGGCCGTTGCCAGCAGACTGCAGGAGTTCAAGAAGACAAAATCGGTGATGCCTTTGTTATGGCACTGGTACGTCTAGCGACAAAATTCAGGTTAGTGCAAACAAAATTGTTAAAGTTGTCGGATTTTAACATACAAAGAATGGACGATTGGCATTTGCGGCTGTACCAACTTGCCATAGACTGAGATTTCCATCAGAATCAGCAACGCCGAACTTGTTGCCATGTTGCGAAAATCGCAAACGGGTTACTTTGGCAAACGTGCCAGCCGAACGCGGCGTAGCTACAGGGGAATTATGTCCCCATTCCCATAATTGTACAGATCCATCCTGAGACCCAGTCAAGTCTGTAATTTAATATTGCGGTTGTTTATGTTTTGTACTCTGCATTGCGTTAAATTTAATACTTACAAAGCGGCATTAGCGGGTGAGAGGTAATACGTCGAATCCCATCAATTTTGTGCCTAGTGAGCTGCGTACGAAAATCATAATTAATACCAGAAACAACATGGCGATGGGCGAAAATAAACTTTCGATAATATGATGATAAAAGCACATAAAACACAAGCACAACATGTTTTGTAGTTCATGCAATAGTGAAATGACTAAAGAAATCGGCTAACTCAATCAAAATAGGAAGTATATCAAAGGGCGCTGAAGAGTGTTAGTAAAAGACAGACCGGTCGTAGCATATGAGCCGACCGTAGCAGCACGAGGTGGACAAATCCGGCATCATGACAGCCTGGGAAGCTCACTCCTTTTATCTACATTCACGCGACGCATTGAAAATTGCACAAAATGTTAGTGACGTTTCGGCGCATTGATCTGATGTACAAAATGGCAATTGGTTCTAAATACTTACAACGCTAGCGCCACGTCCACTTTGTCCAGCGAGACCTCCCGGTTGCGGACTTGACGGTTGTGTATCTTTGGCTTTGTCACCTGCGCTTTGGATAACGAGGAATGGCGGCACGGTGTGATCCACGTGATCCTTGATGTTGAGAATATCCAACTCGCATTCATCCTCCAACCATGCAGGAAGTTCTAGTAGTAGAGAGATATCCATCTCTTGTAGTTCTCTTGGTGTCGCAACGACGAGTATTCCAGGTGTGACCGAATTGAGGCTGAACGCAGCAATGGAGTCCTGCTCCTTGTGGATGATGCGCACTGGCTCTGGGCCACGATCCGGATGAGGGAGAACTTCGTCGAGGGCGGTGAGCGAACGCCGCTTGCCGAATACGGCACGTATGAATATATCTTGCACGCATTCCTGGTGGACAAGGTAATGCCAGAGCCGGCGTACGGTACCCGTCCCCGGTTTGCTGCTGAATGGCGTGTTATGCGGCTCGAGCAGCTGGCGGTACTTCTGAATGGGAGGTCCGGTAGTGGTTTCCATGAAGCAGCCGGGAATGTATTCGGCAGGGGACTGACGATTGTCCAGCTCGTCTCTGAGTTGATCCTGCCATTGGTGTAATCGACGAAGGGCGGAGTGAATTAAAGGACTTGCCACGGGTAATTCAGACAACTCAATACCAGCCACCTAATAATACCATAAATATTAAAATAAAGTGGTACCATGAATAAATTATTATCATACCGCTAAAAATTGTGTGAGGCGTTCCTGAACAATACGGATCACTGACAACTTAAGCACCAACCATGAATAGGAATCCGGATCGGAATGTTCAATATTCTGCGTGCGTGTCATCGGCGTAGGCGTATCAAACACATCTTCGTCACTCTCGTTTTCCGATTCACTATCAATTTGGTCTTCCTGTGGACCACTGTCAGGCTTTGTAAGCAAATATGCCAGCATCGACATCTCTGGCGCGATAAACTGCTCCCTATATGTGGGCTTGTCTTCTTTCATCACTGACGTCTGGTGTCCCAGAATTTTATTGTTCAATTTGACACGCTGCTTATTTAGCCATGTTGCAGCGCTACCCACTTCTTCTGTGGGTGTATTCTGGGCGCTGTCGTTACCGGAAATACTGGCCGTCCTCAAAAGTTTCTTAATACCACCACCGAATAATCTGTTTAAGTTTTCAACACATAGATTTTTTAAAGTTAATATTTTTGGTGATATTTTAATACTTACATTCCCCATGTAGTTGTTGTGAAAGTATGGCCGGCCATATGATACAGAATAACGGCATCACAGGTAGCAAGACCATACAGGAGAAGTGACAGGTAAGTAGCCACAAAGGATTCGCATAAAACAACAGTAAGCCTTGGTGTATCTTCATCTTTTTCTCTTGCTAACAACGCCCTCAAGGAGGTGACCCCCGGCCATTTTGAAGGTGCTGTGATAATATTCTGCGCTTCATTCATCGACATCCGTCGCCTGCGACCCACCAGATGACTGGATGTATCCTGAATATCCTGAATATTACTCTTGAACGTGTCAGAATCACATAACGATTGGTATATGCACGCAGATAATGCGACAGCCAAGTCTCTCAAGACAGTTAACGAAGATTGATTCGCCGTTGGTTTAACCAACTCCACAACGGTCTGCAACATATCATGGGTGAGGCATTGAAGATACCTAATAGGATCAGCAATGACAGTTTTGCTGCTAGCAACGCTCGCGGCTAATAATGGTAGACTTGTTGGGAATGGCAATGGGCTCAACAATTGCTGGTGTGTTTTCTCTTGTTGGAGTTCTTGTAAGAGTAGTACCAATTCCATGCGAACAGAAGCTAATCCCCCGGTGGCACCGTGTAAAGAACAGTAACTTAACAGTGTCCTGATGAGAGTCTCATTGGCACGTAACCAGCGCTTGCGTTTTGCTGCGCGTTGCACCTTCGCCTCAAAGTCCAATTTTTCCTGAATGAGTATTTCGTGCAAGGTAGGCCTGTCCCGATTCTCGGGATTCTCCACATCAGCGTTTGGATCGTGGTCAATGGGATCAACAAGTTCTGATGTTGTGTAATTGCATAATTCTCGTAGCGCATCGACTTCCTTTTCCAGCCACTTGTATAGGTGATAGCGAAGCTGACCACCATCCACTTCAAACCCAGTTGCTAGAGTGGACAATTCTTCCATTAGGATTTTAAGACACGCAACGAATTTCAACTGCTGCGCCATTACGTCAATCTGTTCTGGTCCTGTATCTTCATCTTTATCTTCCTCCTCGTCTTCTGGCCGTTCCTCAGATTTGTTAGACTTGGCTGTCATCTTAAGCCCACCCTCGGATCCGTCAGATTCTTCAGCGGCCGCATCATCATCATCCCAATTCAACACGAGTTCGTCTGCTTTAACCGTACTAGGGGCACTCCAGTCGAAATCCATTGAGGATTGAGCTTGAGGTTGTGCGCTCTGCGGTTCCCAGGAAAGTGTACCTGTGTTGATCAATGCTTCCGACGTCTTGCATGGTACTTTCTCTGATTTTTCTGAACCGGGGGTCGCCGCCTGCTTAAGCGGATCACTAACAACATACGGTAACTTTGAAAGGACCTCGAGGGCCAAAGCAGGACAACCCGCGCGGAAATGTCCATGTGCTGTTGTAAAATACAACTGTCGCTCCAGAGGAGTAATAGACTCTTCAACAATGACCTGCTTGCCGCCTGGAAGCCACACCTTCCTATTCCCTGAATTGGCTACGTGTTGACGAATCAGCAGTGGATGAGTACGTAGGTAGACATAAAAATTGAACACGTTCGGATCTGCTTCTTTACTCTCCTTAGTATCATCATCATGAGATGGATGCATTGTTCCTGCATTACCCAATAACAAGGTACTCAAGGACGCCTGTTGTTCCTTGAGAGTCCAAAGCGCCATACTTCGCAGAAAAGGATCTGGGTGTGCGCGGGACATGTCCTGTTCGTTACCTTCTGCATCACACCCTAGTATTTCTTCATACAGTAACTTCTTCAAACTCGTACCATCACCCTCGTATAATCTTACAATGATAATCGCTAACTGCAAATCCTGCAGTTTATGCAGGCAGATTTCAACAGCGTCCTTCAAGCTTCCAGCCAAGAGGAAAAATGCTGCCGCATGTTCAAATCGTTGTTTACCCAACAAAGCGTAACCGTTCTTCAAGGCAGCTTTCCTCCAGCGCTCTTCGGTGAAATTATTCGCAAAGAATGCTGTCATGCGGTCATCTCTCTTGGATCTATACAACCCCCAAAGTAAGCTCTTTTTATTCATCGCGATATAGAACAACGCCGCGTCTAAAGGATCCTGCTTTGCCGAATACGCTGCTTTCGCTAATACTTGGACACATTGCTTCAGCAAGGTAATATTGCGCACCCACCAACCAACACCCAACTCCCTCAAGAGGAACCACGTCGGTTCTCCCTTCGCATAACTCGGAATGAGATTGAGGAGTTCCTCTTGACTCTCGGAATGATACGCCCAGGCTAGATTATTAGTCCCAACTCCGTTCTTCTGGAATTGAGCGCGTTGCGCTAATGGTAGACAACGTAGGAGGTAACTGTAATGTTTCATCGCTAACAAAAAGCGTAGGCCGCAATCATCGAGAGAGTCTGTGATCACTTGATCCGACTGCCCGACCAAGTTCTCCTTCGCCAGTGCTGATTTAGCTGCATCAATAGCAAACCGCTCAGCGAGGTCAGTGTTACAAGTTGAAACAGTATCAGCTAAAGCCAACAAATGCATCTGATCCAAAGATGATAAACCAGGAAGGTGAGTGTGGGTGAGAAGACGGGATAAAATACGACCCTGTCGAGGAGTGAAATGTGCAATACTTGTAATACGTTCAGAAGGACGACGCTCTAATCGGGCACCCTCATCGTCCTCCAAAAGGGTGTCAAGGTTATCTTCCATGTTCAGGTTGTTATCGAAGAGCTCGTTGTAATCCTTCTTCTCTTCCTGGGTCGCTGGCCGTTCTTTGTCCGCTGCGAGAAGAGTCCATAATGGTAATGGTGGGATATTCTTACTTTCGTCGTAATCTAGAGTAATCTCTCCAATACTGGCGCGATGTTCTGGTGAACCCGCTGGGTAACTTACGGATAGTGTGCGTGCGCGAGCCCAGCCTTGCATATCTTCATTATTATCAATTGTCGCACCACCAAGGCACTTCACTAGATGTGACAAGATAGCCTTTACCCATCGAATCTTCCCGGAATTGAGAAGTTCCATCAACTGCTTGGGGTGATATTGTGGCAATACCGGGCAAGCAATTCTAGAAGCTTCAAAGAGCCCATAATCGGGCATGTAGTCAATTGACTCCTTATTTACGCGTTTCCTGTCGAGTATTTGAAGGTTCATCGAGCTGATACGCCCTAAGGTTGGAATCGACGCTAACTTTCGTTGGTTTTCTTGGGTCAATGTGCGGAAATCTACGTCACGTCCACCGCGCTTCTCTTCATCATTACCACTAGTCAATACAGGAACTTGGGGCTTCCATTGTGTGTACACGTGCATTTCGGAGTCCATTCCAACCACTAGGATGCCATCACGCACCCAACTTATCTGCATAGGCAACGCGGGTAAACCATCTGCCGTCGCCAATTCAATCTTACGTAAAGTCATCCATTTAAAATCATCAACAAACATTGGCTGAGCAAAGGAACTAGCTTTTCTCAAAATGGGCCGATTGTTGTTAATCGACTCCTTCATCGCCTTAACATTCGCTTGTGCCAAATCAGTGGATAATGGCGTGTACAGCATTATTTTCGACCCACACGCAACTGTCAGAATGTGCGACCCGTCCTCATTGGATACCCAATCCAATTGTACAATGTGTTTCTGAGTAATGGGACATATATTGCCCATTTCCGAGATAGACTTCCTTAAGCTCTGCAAAGTGCTGAAGCTAGGAACCGCGAGTAATGTGGGTTTTATGCCTTGCTCTGACGCCATACTAAGACGTTCATCGTTTGAGAATGTGTGTAATACTTCGTTAATGCGTTGTTTCTTCTTCAATGTTTTCGAATCGTACAGATAGCTGAGGTCAAGATGTCTGTCTAGTGAAATACGCGGCAAGTGAATATTTTTCAGATGGATTATATCTTCCAAAATCCATTCGGACCCTCCGGTCGACTCGCACTCATAAATAGCAACGCAAAGATTGATGTATCGTGAATCATGATCGTCTTTGTTGGGACGAGTGAAGCTGCGGCCATATTTGTATGCTACCGCTAATCGACCCGAATACGCAACGCTGATGTTTAGGATTTGACCCTCTATTTCAATCGCTGATTCTTTGATCATGTTCCATTCGGTCCAGATCTGTCATAAATACATGATAGGAAATTTATAAATACACCTTAGCGTTTTTCAATTTATCAAACTTTGAAATTATTCTAAGGAGTCAAAATGCTTTACCTTGCCAGTGTTCACCATTTCTCCATCTTCTTCCAACATGAGATGCCTAGAAGATTTTACAAGTGCAGAGTTGTGTGATATTGTCCAGAAACGAATAATTCCATCGCTGCATGCGGTTGCAAAACAATATGGCGCGAGACATGCGGGATAAATCGACGCAGAACTCAAGTGTCCCGCAGCTGGTGTAGCATGAACAATTTCGACGCCATCCGGCAAAGGTAGAACCTTTTAAACAAAAACGATCGTAAAATATTTATATTTAGAAACAGAAATGTAAAGATCACCTGCTTAATTTCCCTCATAGTCGTTATATTAATGTGCGGACTAACTTTGGCATGTTTCTCATGTAAACTCTCCATGCTATTCTTCCTGCTCAAATCGTTTTCGTCCTGCACCAGATTACAATCTGGTACGTACATCTGACTACCGGACAAGTTAACGTCACTCTCATTAGAAGCAATGGTCAACTTCCACATATGTATTATAGTATGCAAATCGGTGCAATCAAGCAGGACGATATAAAATGGCTGCTCAAAGACGATGTTCTGTTGAAGATCCACCATGGCATCATGCCCAGTGAGATTAATGGGCGCGGCGGTACTGCGCTCGCCGGTAATCAACTGCTCCTGATAAACGTGCAGGAAAGTAGTATTCTGATAACGCACGGCTTCCGATATAGTCTCCAATTGAATTATACATCCAGGTCTTGATGTGCTCTGCTGGGAAACAATGTTGATTTTTTCCAGGAGGCTGGCTTCGTCCAAACTGGATAGATCTGTTAAACTCTCCGTTGAATCGTTAAGGCGGTGTTCTTTACAAGAGATATCCGCGAGAAGTGTGCGAGCATCAATGACAGCCTGGTAAACTCTCAATGAGTGCCCATCTGAAGCGACAAAACACGCGCTTGGAGAGTTGGATAAATTTCCTAGAGTAGAAGAGGGCAGAAGAGTTGGAATCCACGCAACATTACTGAATGCGGATGGTTCTGGGGAACTAATGCGTGCCAACTCGCATATTCCACCGGATTTCGATAGTGGACCAACTGCGTCTACTCTCCATAGAATCAATTCGCTACAGAAACCCTGAAAATCGACACACGCTGATAATATCGTAAAATATTTACGGTAGAACATTTTATTTACGTTTTTGCTGTGTTTCTCCTTCTGCTCGACAATATTATGATGACTAGTAGTTAATAACAAAGGCAATACCGGATGGCAGGTGATGTCATTCACGCGGAAACGATGGCCAGAAGCGCGACTCTTGTGTCCAATACTTAGTACCTGACTGAATTTACTCTTATCCGCAAATGTAAGCTGCCACAGGTTTAATGTACCATTATCGTGCTTAGTAACCAACGAAACCACTGGTGAAGGATTTTTCGGCTCTTCCTCAACGGGCACCTCCTGCCTCACTTCGGCAGTCGACGCATTCTCGTCTTCTTCTTTAACTATCGACAGATTATTCCCAGGCGCCGTGCCGTTATTCACATCTTTCGTAATGACATCTTTCACCAAGTGTTTAATACAATCAGCGACGCTGTACAATGCAATCATCGTAGACATACTAAGAGAATCGCCCACGGGGAAAGCAGCGGGGATTCTGGTCGCAAATGAAACCTGCGCCTGCCGGAAAGAACCCGGGTGGAACTCATCCAACCATTCAATCACCCAGATCAAGAAGCTGCCGTCCACCGGATGAATACTGAAGAGAAGATCAGGGCTGTGATGCCAATCGCGCAATAATGTTTCTATTTTGGTATCAAGTATAGGCATATCCATCGCAGGATCGTCACCATTGCATTCCTCATCGGGATTGTCCACAGCCCTTCGCGCTAGTTCTTTGACTAGTGACTCTGCTTGCATGTTATAGTGCATTTCCTTGTTGTCCAGCCAGTGAAGAACGAATGCTGGACGCGGATTACAGAATGAAATACTGGGCACCAATGGGATGTCAGTTTCAGCATTAACGGAAGCCGCGAGATGGAAATGTAAACCCGGTGTGACGCCGGTACCGTGATACCCATAGGAGTGAAAGTCATGTACGCTGTACGTAGAGGGCAACGTAGGAATTGGAGTTGAAAGACCTGCTAATTGCCCGTGGTGTTTTGCATGTCGCCTGATATGAAAACAAGTTCTAGACAAACACATAATTAATTTTATCCCTTCAAATGTAAATGGCGGTTTGAAACTTACTTCATGTGTTTCAAACGTTGTATAAATCGATGTTTATGTCGATGAGTGCGAAATTTAGGATGATTCGCTTGTGGATCAAGTTGAGAGAGGTTTATCAAGCCATCTTCCGGTAAAACAGTTTCCACCCAAAGTCTGCAGATGTTATCCTTGCACGAAGTGACCAACATATTGGAAACGGAACCCTTCGGCATAAATTTACTCGTTGTGCGCCATGAGAGATGCGTGACGGCACGTGGATGTGCGATGTAGACAAATCCATATTCCATTTCTTGATGTTGATCGATGCTCTTGGTAAAGAGAAAATGTTTGTTTTCGTACCAAATCTTAACCAGCCGATCATTTTCGCCTGATGTTGCAAATAGAGTACCATCCGGACTGAAAGCAAGATGTTGGACTGGGGTGGCGGTGTTTGCCCTCCAGACACACTGCCACTGCATATCATGATCTACAAAAAATAGGTTTTATACAAAAGTTTAATTTTTTTCTTCAAATTCTACCTTTCTCTTCATGTGTTTGCTGTTCAGGGGGATCAATACTTGCATCACATTCACCTCCAACAGTGAATTTAACATGCTCAGCTTGTCCTTGCTCTTCAGGAATGGTAGTATTTGGTTGCAAGTGCCACAATTGAACAATACAGCCTGCTGTCAACAATCGGCTGCCTTCAAGGTTCCAGCTTAATGCTCTGATTGGTGACTCAGTTTTTAGTGTGCCAGTTTGCACCCATCGATAGTCCAAACCCTTTTTTACATTTACTTTATATATTCAAATATCAGAAGAATGGATATACTTACATGTGTAGAATTTGGATTAATCAATGGAGTAGGCTCATAGATGCAAACAATGTTATCATATGCAGCAGCTATTTTCCCAGTGTCACTGGAACAGTCAATTGAACTGATTCGAATGTAGTCATGCACTGCACCAGGTATAATTTGCACCCTTTCAAAGGTAGGTGCAAGTATGACAATGTTGCAACCGGCAGCATACGCCTATAAGAAGCATAGTAAATTAATTATTTTCTTCAATGATTGTGTTTGCTGGTGCTTACTGTGAAGGGAACTCCTTCGACGCTGCCCACGGCAAAGCACTTATCGCCGGCATTGCACGCCCCACTCACAATCTGGTGGAGATTCATCGCGACCCTTTCAACGGCCCGTGAGGTGTTCAAAGTTTAGTCTTCGCACATAGCGTTCGACTTTAGCATTTTTCTACGCAGACGACGGCTATTTAATTATGTTCGATCGATTCCACTGACACATATTCTTGCCTTGATCAGCTGTTTGCTGTCATTTTCAGTCATATGACTTGAGCGTACGCATTTTCCACAATCATTAAATGAGCGTCAAGGATTGCTAATAGATGGCAATACGTATGTATTAAATATATTTATTTTCTTTTTAGTAATAAATAAGTTGATACTACATTTATCTGACTGCTGCATTTATAGAAGATGTAGGTAAATTTAAACTTTGCTTAGAATGCACCGAAAACAGTTGTGTACAACAATAGTGACACATTTATTCATATTTAGTTGGTTCTCTTAATACTTTGTTTAATCCATGGTTTAGACACTGGTTTAGCCGTTTTGTTTATAAACTAAATGCTAAAAGATGAGCTAGAGCAAGAAGATAGTACTCTAAAGTTTTATCTTCATTTTATAAATGATCTGCGTGATTTTCGAGTGTTTTCATGGGCCGTGGGCCATTGATGCGGCTGGCGACTGTCAATTTAGCTCAGTACAGCTTGCGCCGTCGGTTGTGGTGCATGCGTTATTTTCTGATCCCCACGTCAAATGTTTTTTCTTTTTTCGTTTTGTTTTAATTCTGATATCGTGTTCTGCTTGATATACCACCGATGGTATTATTTATAACAAGCGTGTATGAGGTTTTGAGAGTAATTGAAGTTCCTGCAAACCACGTAGCATACCTGCATCTTGGAATTATGAAGACAGATAGGATTCTGAGTAAGTGATATCAGTTTAAGAATGAATTAATGTAGTGGCTTGTTCGCCTAATGTAACTTAAAACTATTGTGTATAGTGATTATATTGTATAGTGAATGTTTCCCCTTTGCTGTTTGCATTTCTTTGTTTTGGAACACTGATTTTTGTTTGTTTTAGGTGTCCAGAAAGTGAATTGTCAGTCTTATGTCAGATTGCAAATATTGGAAATTACTGCAGAGTGAGAAATTGAATTCCCTTACTTTTAAATCATTCATTAAATTGCTACTGTAAATGTTTTGCTCAACAAATGTTTGTCGCATCTGTAGTTTCCTGTAATACAGTACTAGTTTGTGCCGACGAAACTCATTTGTTTGCCACTGTTGGTTCATTTTACCTGAGTAGGTGGCGTAATTATCGGAAGCAGCCGTGTCTCTAATTCAAAGTTTTTCTGCTCAGTTGGTGCTGTCTATGTGCTCTGTTTGTTATTCTCTTCTCGATGATGAGAATAATGTGAATAAATAAATTAAAATAAATCCCAGTAATATGGGTTGCCAATGTATCAGAGTTGAATTTCAAATGGAGTCGCAAATAACAGGAATAATAACAAGAATGAGGAAGGAGTAGTAATTGTTGGAGAACAAGAGTGTAGGTTGAGAAAGCCACCCCGAGAACAGGAGTGGCTCGGATTTTTAAATTTTTTGGCGGCGTGTCGTTCTATAAGACAGTCTAAAGTCGCTAACTGCAATTTATTTGTAAATTTTTATCCTTTTATTCAATATTCTTATTAAGAAAATGATTAAGTTCTGACAGAGAACACATAGGTATGGAAATGTTGTTCTTTGTTTAAATTTTCATTTAAATTATTTTTTTGGTACCATAGATAAAATTGTAATTAGCCAACGAAAAGGCAACAAAAATTTAATCTTCGTGTTTCTAAAGACTGATACTGATTTTTGTTTATTTTAAAGATTTTGCACCTGCACCCGACATTGTAGGAAAACCATTCTTGCATCAGATTGTAAGAATTGAATTTCTTAGTAATAGAAGTAAATAAAAACATTAAAAAGCAAATCGCTTCGGTAAGATATGATAAATTACCAATTTTTTATAGATATAACTTTTAATTTGATTTGTTGAGACAGGCTACTCATTCTGCCAGTGCGAAATCAGAAATAAGGCGTAAAGAATTTCTGACACATAGTGCTAAAAGATTTTCAACCAAATAAAATACTTTGTTTACTAAAAATAATATTTAAAATTTACTATGGAGTGAAAAACATAGGGTGTACTTCTGTACTAATTCATCAAGAGACTCATTTTAAAATGTATTCTATTTTTATACCCTAGGCCTTTGGAAGTACCCTAAAAGGCTCTTCAAAAATTGACTATTCCATAAAAATTAGAAAATGTGGAGTGGAAAACAACCTGTATCTTCTGAACTAATTTACTTACCTTTAGTTTCTCAATGCCTTGTTTTAGATCAAAAAATTCTTTTTAAGATGCATTCTATTTTTATCCACTAGGACCTTTTGGAAGTGCCCTAAAATGCTCTTCAAAAATTGGCAATTTTATGAAAATTTGAAAACATGGTGTGGAAAACAGCCTGTATCTCCAGAATTAGTTGATTTTCCTGAAGTTTCTTAGCGATATATTAGAGTTCAACAGACCCTCTTTACGATGCATTTTATTGCAGCAAAATAGGTCCTTTGGAAGTGCCCTGAAATGCCCTTCAAAAGTTGGCAATGTTATGAAAATTTGAAAACATGGTGTGGAAAACACCCTGTCTCTCGTGGACCATCTTACTTTCGTTGAGTTTTTTGATACCATATTTTAGTTCAAGAGCCCTTCTTCACGACACAATTTTAACCTGCTAAACCCTTTGCAAGTGCCCTAAGATACCCTTTAAACGTTGGCATTGTTTTGAAAATTTAAAAACATGATGTGGAAATCGCCTACTTTCTCGTGAACTAACTGATTTGTTTAAAAGTTTCTCAACGTCACGTTGAAGTTCAAGAGTCCCTCTACATTATGCATATCTTTTTAACTTCATTAATTTTGGGGAAGTGTCTCAAAATACCCTTAGAATAATGCTGTTTTGTCCAATAACTTTCATTTTTTTGTCGAGTAACAGGGTCGAAGATTTATTCTTAAAATGTTTGCGGCTGAAGAACAGGGTGGAACTTTTTTTGGTCGAAAAACAGGGTCGAACTTTTTTACTTAAAAATTATCGGTCGAATTTTTTTGTTAAATTTTTTTCGGTCGAAAAACTGGGTCGAACTTTTTTATTTAAAAATTTTCGGTCGAATTTTTTTGTTAAAATCTTTTCGGTCAAAAACAGGGTCGAACTTTTACTTAAAATTTTTCGGTCGAATTTTTTTGTTAAAATCTTTTCAGTCAAAAACAGGGTCGAACTTTTTTACTTAAAATTTTTTGGTCGAATTTTTTTGTTAATATTTTTTCGATCGAAAAACATGGTCGAACTTTATTACTTAAAATTTTTTGGTCGAAGAACAGTGTCAAACAATTTTGTGAAAATGTTTTTCGGTCGAAGAACAGGGTCGAACGAATGCATTTTTCTCTAAAATTGTAAATAGGGTCTAAACGGTTAATGTTATCAAAAAAAGTTACCAAAATAATCGATGTAGAATTAAATTATCTAGGTTTCCGATTTAAAATTAAATCGAAATTAATAGTTCCTTGCATAGTACGAGTACAATTCTATTCATGTTTTGCACTACCACACTGAAAGTGTCAGTGTTTTCAAACAAACATGCTTTCTTATCTCGTGCAATTCTGGTGCGATCGCCACGCGGTTGGCTTGTGTACCACGTTAGTCTCATTTTTGTCGTCAGGTGATCTACACGCACATTGTCTTCATTATTTTTGAGTTTCTAAATGCTTATTCGATTGTGCGCGATTGATGTGCGTACAATCCACGCGGATTGTACATACTCAGAGGTAAAGCGGGAGTGATGTTCCGTCGGCCGTCGTATTCTTTTTGTATTATATGCGTAATTCATCGGTTCTTCAATGTGCATAATTAAGGTCCATACAACTTATTCTATATACCAAAACGCAAAAATTTATTGTGCATCAAGGTATGTTCTCGCATTTCTTTAGCAATTTGAAAATCAAATCCATTATTGACTTTACTTGTTTGCGCTTCTCCAATTGTTTTACACGATTCAAAATAAAATTCTGATTTGTGCTTTAATTTTGTTTTTGGATTCCGAAAGTAAATTAAATTCGGAATACAGTAGCCCTATTGACATGTAAAAACCAATTTTTGTATTAAAAATGCAAATTGTATCAAACTAATTGACATTGATATACCAATACATAAATAATAAAAGTAAACAATGCTACAATTATCTACCTGGTGCTTCAACTAGATGTTTAAGTCGGCTGACAATTCTCTTTCATGCTTAGTCGGTCGTGCGCGGTGGTGTCATGAGCACGTGTTTTGTTCTTAAGTTTATCTGCATAGTTATTTATCGCGTTTCTTGAGATGTTAATATAATAGTGACACGGACGACAATGAATTTCAGCCAGTGTGGCTTACAGTTATTGAATTGTCGCTCATGGAATCGGATATTGAGTGACTAATAATATATGTCGAATTGGTATTATTATTTATTTATTCAACGGTTAATTTGTTAAAATGAGTATCAATTCTTACTAATGTAAAATGTCTTGTTAACGGAAGAACAATTAAGTGCGTGACGTCAATGCAAATTAAAACTAACGTATTCATTAATTTTAATATGTATTTGTTTTTATTCATTTGCTGTGAATTAAACTGGCCAAGCCCATAAGCCATTTTTCGCAACTTGATAATGGTACCGAAGTTACGCAGCTATGGAACACACGTTAAAAACAATTACAAAGTACTTTCTTGATTGTATGAACACCAATAAAATACAATTTAATATTATACTTGAAAGTATATTTATTTTGGTATCCTATTTGTTGTTTTCAGGAATCGTTTAAAAATAACATTTGATTCAAGTCAAGTGTGTGCGTGATGGATGAAACATAAGGGTTGTTCTTTTTAAAAACATGATTAAAAGTGCAATATTTATACCAGAAACGAATACAATATGATAAGAGAGCTCGGTAGCTTAGGTGTACGTACCTGTACTTGCAAATTAGGGGTTCATGGTTCGAATCCCAGTAGAGCAAAGATGTTTTCTTAAATATGAAAATAATTCCGAGTAATGTGGGTTGCCTATGCGCGCAACAGAGTTGAAATTCAATTAGAATTCGAATAACAGCGAAGAACGAGATGACGGCAATACAGGGAAGTTAGGAATAACAAGATTGCCACCACTACTGCTTCGATGCGTCCATTGCTCCCGGCCCAGCCTACAACTACGGTGTCTCTACGTTTCATTCATATCAGGTGTAATTTGGGTTGCATATATGAATTGCAACGAAATATAAGAGAAATTGAAATACAAGTGATGGTAATATGAGAAGAAATAAGAAAGCAAGAGCAAGTGTAACGGAGAACAAGGAAACAGAAGGAGGAGTAGTAGAGAATAGGAGAAGATAGAAGGAAGAGAACAGAGAGAGTAGAGTAGAGTTGTGAAGAGGAGGAGATAGAAGAAAGAGAACAGGGGAGGATCAGATTTTTAAATTTTTTGGCACGTGTCGTTATAAGACGGTCCACTGCTTCGATCCGTCCATTGCTCCCGGCCCAGCCTACAGCTACGATATCTCTGCGCTTCATCCCCGGAATTATCAGGCATATCAAAAATTTTTATGGTGGGGGATCACCCCCAGAGAGAGGGAATTCATTATAAGGACAATCCTTATAAGGTTTTGTTTAAATATTTCCAAGTTTTAAGTCGCCTCAAGAGAAGTGACACTTAAAAATATTCTTACAAGTTCTGACCTGTAGCTGAAATGAAAGATGGAGTACACAAATACAAATACAAGATACCTTAACAATTTTTATAGTGGGGATCATCCCCAGAGAGAGGGAACAAATCCTGAAATGATAGAAGGGGTAAACACAAATCAAAGAAGTCAATATATCTTACTATTTCTTTATTAACAATAGAATACAAGTTTAGATTTACAAGTCAACAAAATACATGCCGCCTTATTGACACAGAACTTACGGCCTGCATCGTCGCGCACATACGAGTATTAGCAAGTAACACGTCAAAATGTTCTACCGGGATAAAGAAATTAGCAAATTGCCCATTTTTTAGGTGATGGAAAAGGGGAACAACTATACAGGGTGTCACAAAAGAAAAATTTTAAGTGCAGACAGGAAAACGTCTCAAATATCGCGCGTTTTTCACCGTTACTCGGGGAAACAAATGTACAGGGCGTTACAAAAAGAACAGTCAAAGTGTAAGAAGTCAAATTCTAAAAACAATCAAAGGAAAATCATAAAATCCAAATACAAATAAATGTGCTCAATTTTCAGCACTTGATATGCAAAATATATATACCGGGTGATACATAAAGAAAAATTAAGATTTAAGAATGAAAAGATCTGGAAACAATTGACTATTGACAATAGCCGACATAAGAAAAACAATTTGCACGGGAAATCAAAGAAGAGTGAAAGAAAGAGTGACACAGCAAAAATCAGAACATTTAAGATGAAACTGTATTTCCTCTGAGTATCAAGGAAATGTGATGGAATAGATATAACAAAAATAAAACACAAAGCCGAATTTCATTTAAAATCATGTATAACAAAGGCAACTAAGGCCGCAGCCTCCAACGAGCATCGAAAAGGCAGCCAACGGCACGAGACAATCTTAAATTATAATTCGTATATCAAACAAAAGAAAAACAATGTTTCGAATAAGTAATGCCAATCAACAGTAGGTATTAAAACAGAGAGAAAAATTATTTGCGTGCGTAAAGGCCACGCGGTTGAAGTAAAAACTAGTAGAGTCTACCACGGATTTGCTATTTTATATGGGTGATGTAATGCGAGAATATACCTGGATCCAAAATTACCTTTTCACTTTCGTGATATCCAATAAGTTGTGA